TGGGAGGGGGTAGCACATATACAGGCATGAAGGCGCCAGCCAAGATATCAATATTTCAGCCATACCATTATAATAACCTCTAGGAGAGTTCAAAACATTGCAATTGTCCAAGACTGTTGCCTTACATTTTGAAGCATCTTTCCAAATGTAGACATCTTGGCAAGGCGTTCGTTGCTGGCTCGGCGCTGCCCTGAAAATCATCGATTTCAGGGTAATTTAAAACAACGCGAAATCCCAAAAATCACCAGGTAGTTGAAAGGAGGCAGGGCAGCGGCAGCATACGTTCAACTGGTGGCATCAATTGATTTCATCCAGTAGCCCTTTCTAGTTTTTCTAGGTGACACCACCTACTTTACTGCATGATTAGATGTTATCGGATGCTGCTTTGTTTAGCTATCGAGTATGACGTTATCGCTGGACTTTAGTGTCGATATGTTGCTGAGTGCCTAGTTCCAGTTAAGAGAAGGAGACCTATAGGCTCACTGGTATGGGTTGCACCAGCAAGCAGCTGTCTTCAGTGCCTGGAGTCTCTCTCGATTCGCAAACGAAGCTGCCCATGGGGGAGTGCCCAAACAAACAGAAGTGGGGCTGACCCAACGAGGGATAGAGCCATACAGTAGCGGTCAGTCCACAAAATGAAACTCCGGGTTAGCACTTTGTGAAGGTGTTTTTTCGGTGTTTTTCTTCTGGTTAGTTGTTTTTCTTCCTTAGTACTAGATCTCTAGGTCAAATACAGAGTGTTTTTGAAAAGCCGTCCATACTTTTTGAGATCCTTTTTTGAGATCCTTTTTACCCACGTCCCTACCAGAAAGTACAGTCGTGGTCCCTGCAAACAATATGGCGTGTGACGAGGCGTAACTTGGAGCACAGCCAGGGTCCGCTGCAATTGGAGGGCTGCGCTTCAATCCACGCCCCATCGTTTAAAGGCAGTTGGCACGATAATTCGGTACTCGGTCTAAAATGTTAGCAGGCCCCTGCATAATGGGGAAAATGGCGAAAAAGTAGGTGAAATGGTCGAAAACCTGCGAAGAAAAACCTTCGTTCTTAATGACAATTTCGGACGAGTTTTCCGTAGACATCTTGCCAATAACCGCTACGGTGGGTACGGCTGCATGTATGTTCTCATTATCCATGCAGCACCGCAGCCGCTTCATACCAATCCCTTCGCTTCATATTTTACTTTTGCAAATAAAGCAATACGGTCGTCATACTCGCACTTGGAGCGGGTGCAGCGGTGGCGTTCGCTTCGGTATGTTGTAGCTTGATAGGGCCCTTATAGGGATACTTCCTAGGAAAAGTCGCTACGTAGCGCCTGCTCGGGGTCGCAGAGTTCCGTTCTGCCGGGCGTATCAATCCTACCCGTCTTATGGTTAGGGATTATCGTGCCAACTGCCTTTGAAAGGATCATGACCAAGCCTAAACGAGCGGTCCATCCTGGTGCCATGCGGAGGGTGAATGAATAAAATCAGCGCTCAAGTTACTATCGACTATACTCCCCTAAGATCCATCTGACGCGCTTCTCTTCATGGGCGCCAACGCGCCTAAACAAATGAGAGTTGAGTGTGCTGATGACTACCAGCCCTCCATCATAAAAGCCTAGTGTGGAGTTATGTGTAAGCTTTCCGCCCGCTGCGATAATCCCTCCCACTCCACACATGCGCTGCCAGTCGAGTGGGCTAGTCAGCAATAGCAGACATTAGTGATTTGGTTCCTCAGCATGTTTGAGAAATCCATGCAGAAAAAAGGCAAGGCAGAGGTATACGCATCAGGACCTGAATGATTCTTGACGGAAGTCCTACAGAATGTCGAGACGCTGCTATGTTGATTTTCCGACCGACATACGCACGGTATAGGCTCGAACTCCATCAGAATGCGCATGTTCAATATGACTGCATCGAGCTCAGTTCCAGCCAAGCATTTTCTCAGCGATTCCTCACTGTGGGTGGGGTCACGTCAGGGCATGTCATCGTTTTGGAATTTCAATGGAAAGGTGTGTCTCCCACTCCCCATCCCTCGTCCGACGGCAGAATTTCGAGAAAATTTGGAAAAATTCTATACGATCCTAGTAACAAGGTAGGTCGGTGCAGAACCGGTGCATCAATGGAGGAGATTTGGGGGGGGGGGAGGGTGGTCGGTATTCACCAATATTTTCTACGACGCGATGATAAGACCTGGGTGCAGAAAAAGCTGTGGGAGTCGCAAAAGAAAGTGTGAAAAAAACAAAGAAATAGAAAAGTGGCAAGGGGTGGGGGATGGCTAGACTAACTGAAGGGGGTCTCACATTCAAAGAATGATTTATAGAAAAGCCTTGCGCCAAATAAGGCTACTTCGCGAAAGTTTGAAATAGTAAACAAATAAGCGCGAGTCCAGCTCCATTCCCGAAAGTGATGTCCATGCCAATTGTGTGGGCGCACTCAGGCCTTCCGTTGCGTTTTCGTCATTGGTGAACCTTGCTTACAGCACGTCGAAGCGAAAATTAGCAGGGACAGCTGTAGGCAAGGCCAGATTGTGCCCTCACGATTGATATGGACTGCTGCACCTCCAACTCTCTTCCTACAGTGTTTACCCACCAGGATCAAACCCTGAAGGTTTGTCGCCTTTTCCACTGTCTTTCCGCTCCACTCTGATCAGTGGTGGATGCTTCAACATGATCTGAAAAAAATAATCGTTGTATAGTCTTGGTCATTTGTGACTTCCACGACGCAGAATATACGCGAATAATCGAAACATTTCAATAGGCGATTCAGAAGGAGTAAGCTTTAGTTCAGAAGGGTGTCAAAGTAGAGAACAAGAAGGTTATTAGATTACTCGAGAACATTACAGGGCTTTTTTTCATTCAAGCATAGATTCTCTGAGAAAAGTTTTAAATGAATGAGGCAAAGAAAAGCTGAATCCGCAATCAAAGCACATGTGGAGTAGGACCAAAGATGCGCCAAACATTCTACTTCCTTCCACAATGGCAATGGTTTTTGAATGAGACCTGGCCAGTGACACAGTGACATGGTGGAGCCAACCGAGTCAGTGGTTACTTAGGACCAGTGTTGCGTTGTTTGTATCCTCCCAGACCAGTAAGAGATAGAAAGAATGGAAGATTCGTCCAGAGCTCAAAGGAGCAGAAGGGTGTCGTGTCGGAAGAGGAATGTTTGAGGGGGACTTGTATTTTATTCTTCGCCTGCGCAGACGTTCCCTGACTTACTTGGGCCTAGACGGAATTCAATCCAAGATTCGATCCGCGGACCGCTCACCTTGTAGGTGACGTCGTTTGTCGCACGCCACCTCAAGGGGTTCAGACAAATGTATGCCATGAGCCCCTAGGCCTCTAGACACTCACTTTTCAGCAAATCACTGCACTTGAAAGACCTGCTAATCTTGCAGACAGAGAGGATTGTGTGGTCGGCTGAAGTCTGCCATCTGGGAGGCCGGAGGTACCACTGAACTCTTCTCCTTATCTGGCGCACTTCGGCACGGTCGGGGCATTTGCCGGCACTGCCAGTGCCTCATCTGAATGATTGTGAACTCTGTGAAGCTATGCAATAGCAAAAGCTTCGTTTACACA